CTTGAAGGGCACCTTAAACTTAAAGAAAAGAACAAGATGAAAGAAGTCCGTTTAACTAAGAGTTTACCGGCGATGAAAGGCTTGGTCCCCACATGACAACTACAAATACATCAGACCATATTTCATACTATATTTCATACTTTGGACTATGAAAACTCCCTTACCAATTGCGAGGTTATAGTCAAGAAGTTAGAAAAAACCCTGGAAATCAACAGCGTAAGTACTTAACCCGCGTGACCAGTGACGTAAGTTATAGTAATCAACTCTCGTGTGTGCGTGTATGTAAGGGAACACAGAACAGGAATTGCAGACTGCAGGATATAATACATAATATAACAGTAAGTGGGAAGTAGAGATTATACGTGCAGTACAAGTACAACGGAGATAATGTTTTGTGTACTGCATGACATGTTATAAATATAATTTGTACGTTGCATATCGCGGTGAAGTTTTATCTAAATCTAATCTAATCAAGTCAAAGCCCAACATTTGATTAAGATTATATTGGCTTATTGCCAATAATATTGGTGGTGCCATGACGTGGGGAGTATCGCGACAAAACTTCAACTGATATGCTCTGGTTATTTAATATTATGTGTTCGAGGGTCGGTCAACAGCTCAGAATTTGTTCAACAGACCAAGATAATCAAGAAACTATAGATGTCGTCCGCAAAACTAAACTGATTTGCGGGTAACGGTTACAAATATGAAGGTCTGCAGTATGCAGAGTGCAGAGCGGTTAAAGGTGATGATATTGCACAATTTCAAATTGGTATACAACGCTAGAGACAACAATCCGCAAATATTTCTAACCGTTATTAAAGTATAAAGGTCAGAACATATTATTACCACCAGTCTTTTAACTTTTTAACTGCCATAAAGGTAAGGTGGGTATCGTTATACTGGTCTTAAGTTCTCACAATCTATGCGAAACAAATAATATAACTACAAGGTGACAAATAACAAGTCTTTTGACAACACCTCTAATTCGGGTGTTTACAAATATCCCGACTCTCATCGTATTTGCTATTACTTAAAGACACTAGATCGAGTTGAGGGCAGTGTACCACTGGTACGGTAGAACACATTAAATTCATATTATCAGTAACTAGAGTCCGGATAGTGTACTACTATAACTAGTCTACAACTACAGACTAGGTAGTATATTATTACATCATCTTGCGGCGGAGAGCTTATTGATATTCTATTCTAGTGGCGGGCTGCAAATATAGTTATGTACGTGGTTAAACGTAGTGTGTAGTGATGAACAACGCTTCAGATTTAATTCAAATAAACATCGTGAGTTAGCGAAAATGAAAGAAGTTGGCGATTAAAATGTGTTTTAACTAATAAAAGTAGGGGCTTCATCTTAAGATGCTGCAATATGGAACAATATTACAACGCCCAAATATAGCTACCGAGTTATTTTGCTACGATCACAAGAATTAAAGTTTAAAACATCTGCAAGTCTCCTTAATTTTTGTAGCTCAAAATAATCCTACAAGATCATCCTATTTTTGGAGATACAGATTGGAATCAGAATAGCAGCCCCTATAAATCATCATCGATGGGTTCAAAACGTTTTCAGATCTTTTAAACACAGTTATTGGCCAACATTAACATATCTCCTTGCGGCAACTTTTGATGTTTTCTGGTTAAACATCTTAAGCGTTGTGTGCCGACAAATAAGAGGACACTTATTCAACATTCCATGTTAGTATAATAATTCTCATGGAGAGTTAATGGTTTTAAAAATATTGGGGGGGGTGTAACCCAAAAAAACCCAATCCCAGTATGACCTTTTTCAGGGTAGGAGTTGGGTTTTTTTGGGTTTTTTTGGGTTTTTTACAAATTTTTCATTTGAAGGAAATAAAATCATGTAGGCACCTAGCAAAACAATTATCAGTACAACATTACTGTTGTTGTTCATCACTACAACATCACAATAGATATAATCGCTTAAATATCACCCAAAAGCAGTATTTTATTCACTGATGTGCTCAGAAGAAGTTGGCCATCCAGATATGATATCAGCCATATGTAATGCTCACTTCGATGGCCATGGCAAATTGAGTTAGTAGGGACGCAACTCACTGATGACCCCAACCCTGACCGCAACCGGTACGAGAGGAATAAAGCCTTTCTTCTCACCTTCATGATCTCTGTTTCCGTTTTCCTGATCATCCGCTTAACGAGAAACCATGCTCTATCTCCAACTGAAAGAATCTTGCAGTTACCATCAGCTGCGTGATCACATGTGATATTAAGTGATATCTTCGCTTGTTTATGGCCCTGGAGTCGCTAAAATCTTGACTGGGATGGCATTCGATCTCGCCCTCCATTGAGGCAAACCTCAACAGCCGTATCATGATGCAGAGCATCACCATACACAGTTACTATTTTCGCCCATTCCTCTGATGAGTCAATATCCTCCACTTCCTCTTCTTCATCATCTGTTTCCGCTTCGTCACTATCTGCTCCGTCGGAAGATGGTTGGAAAGCCTCTCCTTCAAAGTTACAGTGTTCTTATCGCATCATCAACATTTTTACAAGTAGGCAGGTGGTCTTTCAATGGTTGTGTGAAGCTTAGGTGGCCCAAGGCGTCACCGCTGGATAGAAGCTGGGTGGAAGCCCTGGTCTGATGTGAGCCTCCCAGAACTTTGAAAAGGGGTATCCTGCTGGTGCCCTCTTCCAGACACTCATCGGACAGCATGATGAAAGCCACTACCTCCACGTGGTGAAGACTGGATACTGGACAGGGGGTCCAGGCTAAAGGCAGGACGGTCGACGGGAGACATTGAGCCCCGGAAGTTCAATAATTTGATCTATTGACTCCTTAACTCTTGGTCTACAAGAGGCTTTGAGACTCGTAAATCTTTACTGTGGATTGCACAGTAGCTAAAGAGGTGTTGGCTGTTACCCTGTTCAACCTAGTCTACTATGACCCAGCTAGACTGGACCACAATCTGGTAGTCAGGATACGGCTCCCTATGCCCGGGGTACCGGGTAACGAGGTAGTCAGGGGAAGGGTTAGTCCCCGCTAAAGTGTAGCTCTGTTCTCACTCTCACCTCCTTATGCTTTGGGATAAAATCGGAAAGTCCCACACTGGAGCAGGTGACGATTGGGTAAGGATTACAACTGATGCTGTTTGGTAGAAAAAGGAAGTGTCACATTTGTCTTGTATAGCATATGTTCGTGCAATTACATGCTCAAGATACCCAAGATATTATGGTGAGAGTTAAAGATGGCTTTTGTTCAAGCGGATTGCCTTAACCTCTTACTCTTTTAGTGGCGCAAGAGTTAAGGACACAATCCACTGCCAATGTGCAGGGGACTGCACAGGATTGTGAGCCAACTGAAAAGTCAAGATGAATCTTATCAACAGCTTAAGGGTTAAAGCCCCTTATTTTTCTAGTGGAAGTGGTTGCCGGGGTAATTACGCTGCTATTACAGAAGCTGATAACTCGGTCTCCACAGACCACAACACGACAACCTATTTCTACAGAAAGTCAAACAAGAAAACATCAAAAAAATATTCAGAACATCAATTGTATTGTATCATGTAAAAGGACTGCTAAGGTTAGCACATTTAACATAAGAACAGCCAGAGAACAGCACAAACGCATCGAACTTGCAGAACTATTTTCTCGAATCAAACTGCACATCCTTGGCCTGCAAGAACATCATGTAGTGCATTCTGAGCCTACCAGTGGAGAAACGTGGAGAAACGCAGCTGGCGCTTCTAATGGGAGAGTAGGAATCATCTTGACGAGGACAGCATATGAGGCTATTTAAGTCTTATAAAATCTTACAGCGCAAGGATCCTCACCATGTCTTTCAATGGAAAGCGCAGGCTCACTGTCATCACATGCTACAGTCCTACAGAAGCCTCATCTGATGAGGAGGCAGAAAATCTCTTTTGTCTAAAACCAAGCATCTTACTGTTAATTTAGTAGAAGAGGAGCCACACACAATAACTTCTAAGGACGGACATGCCTTAGAGGAAGTTGAGGATTTTTTCTACCCAGGAGCCTGGATAAGTACAACAGAGCACGACTTTAGGGTACGCAAGGCCAAGGCATGGGCTGCCTACCACAAAATGAAGGCTATATGGAGGTCCAATTTGCGCCGAGATTTAAAGATCCGTCTGTTTCAAGGCTACAGTTGAATCAATCTTCCTGTATGGAACGGAAACGTGGACAATGACAGAATCTTTGAAAAGAATAGACGGATGTTACAGTAAAATGCTTTGGATGGCCCTAAACGTGGACTGGAGAGAACATCGCACCAACAAAGAGGTCTTTAAATCACTCCCAAGAGTTAGTTCGAAGATACAGGCCAGAAGAATGAGGTCGGCTGGGCAGCGATATGATGACCTGGCAGTACACCAATTTCTCCTTCGGGAACCTAGCCATGGGACCAGAGGGAGGGGCAGAACACCGCTCACTTTCGTCGATAACCTAATAAGTGACACCGTACTCAAGAACACTGGGGAGATTAAGGAGCTTATGGCGGACAGAAAGCTTTGGAGACACATCATTGAGACTCGGACTCTGAAGCCGCCTTAAGTCAAGTAATTTAAGTCATGTGCTTTGACTTGCCCTTGACCTTCGTCATAGCCTCCTTCCATGACAGGAGAACACATTTGCCACATTTGGCACATTTCCACTTTGTGCATTCATATGGATTATATCTCGATGATCGAGACATCCTGTTTGCTATCGTGATAACATACTATCAATATAAACACACTCATATACTATGTAAACTATCTATTAAGTTAAGACATGAGAACAACACGTAGGTAAGACTCAGTGGGAAATAATTCACATTCAATACAATTAATGAAATGGCTAGAATTTTGTTTAAATTTTGTTGAAAAAACCCAAAAAAAACCAAAAAAACCCAATCCCAGTATTACCTTTTCTTGGGTAGGAGTTGGGTTTTTTTGGGTTACACCCCCCCCCCCAATATTTTAAAATGTGGACACAGATTAATGGTAAAATTTTGAATTTACGTCAATTCTATGATAAATTAAATTCAAAACCATACTCGTTGATGCATCTTGTAAAATTCTAACCCAGTATCAAAAAGAAAAGTCAACAAAAGGGCCGTCAATTTGTAGATCATAATTTGCTATCAGCCGAAAAAGTAGTGATCCCTGCATTCATAAATTAAATATTGAAAGTAAAAGCCATTAAAATTGAGCCACCTTAAACTTTAAAAACATAAAATTTTCAAAAACATTTTGGACTCGAAAAGAACGCAATATAAACGTAATAATAATATAAAACTTACCTAGGCCTAAGAGCTAACTCTATCTAACTTTATTTTCTAGAAGATCTTCTCAAAATCTTCTCTCTTGTGATAGACTCATCACATCGTAGATATCACAAAGTTATCAAATCTCAGGATTATTTCCCAGGTTTGTCTTTGTTCTTCGTGTAACTCAATCTCTAAGTTTCTCGTAGCCTAGGAAATGAAACTGCTCCTCTATAATTTCTTCACACTTAATCTTCTTGGATCGCATTATAATTATTGTTATCGTCGTAGTCATCGTAGTCCTCTTCGTCATACTCATAATCTTCTTCATAGTTTTCATAGTCATCACCATACTCCGCTGATTTAGCAGGAAGTGATGGCATTGGTGGACTAGCAAATGGGTTGACGGGAGCTGTAACTGTTTGTTGGGTTGCAGCTGGACTCTGACCAGAGCTTCTTAAGAATATGTTCTCTTCAACCGGGGCTGATTTAAGAAAAATGTTTTCAGTATTTTTTGATTTCAAAAAAATATTGTCAGTACTTGTAGTTGTGTTGCCCTGTATAAAGATATTGGTATTGCCAGATGTTGGCTGATTTTTCAGGAAAACGTTGCTGTTTGCGGGAGGGGTTGTGAAAGGTGATGGGCTAGGACTGTTCCCAAACAAATTGGTTCCCTGCGAGACAGAGGTGAAAGAGTTCACCGGACTGTTACTAATACCAAAACTAAAAGGGCTGGCTAGTTGAGATGAAGGGTCTAAAGCAGGAATGACATCATGTACGGCAGGAGGGGAGGGAGAGTTGTTGAGATTGTTATCAGAAGTCACATCACCAACCACATCAGTCTCATCCTCATCACACCCTACACAACCACTACAACTTTCTTTATGCTCGTAATTAAAGAACCCTTTCGGGAGCGAAAGTTCTGATTCCTTGGCCTGTTTGTCAGCTGATGGTAACACTTCCTTGATGATTTCCACGCTGGTGTCTTGGGGAGCAATGGGAGCAGCGTCCTGAGACTCATTCAGGATCTCGTGACTGTACTCCTCAAACTCCTGCTTAAGATTCGCACAAATGTTGTGCGGTCTGGTTTCTGGCGCTTCTTTTTTGGGCGTTTCTTGGAGTTCTGGCTCTGACTCTGGAGGTTCAGGAGTCATTCCTTCAAGTATCTCCGGAGACTGTTGGAAAGAAACAGATTTGCCTGGGGTTTTGATGCTTGGACTCTCTTTTCTGGGACTACCAGCCGCCAACAAGCTCACTAACTTGTGGTTAACTATGTGACCATGCATCTCCTTGGAACAGTTCATGAAAACCCCCCTGAACCTCTCCCTCTCCTCATCGTTTAGAAACTCAACCATGAACCTCCTCGGAAGGGGTGTCTCCGGATCGGTATAGTCAATGGGAACAAACCAGCACAACTTGGTGGAGCTGGGGACAAGTTCCACATACATGCCACCCTCGATAGCGTGAGAGGCGCGGAGTGTTTGGTAGGAGGAGTCGTGGAAGATAACGCGGAATTGTGTTCTGGAGAGAGAAGATAGGACGGAGAGGCTGCCTTTTCCTTGTTCGATATAGTCGCGTCTCCCTGAAGGATTATAGCACTGATAAACTCAGTTAAACTCATTTACATGACCGGGTCGATGGAAATTTCAAGTTGATATGTTTGTATCATTTTGAAAAACAGTCGAAATGCTTTCATTACAGTACGAGAAAGGGAAACTAGATGAACTAACTTGTATCGAATAGGAAGAGGGTAGCGTATCCTCCATAGATTCGTTTCTCCTCCTCTTCGTCTCCCTCTACTGGCCCCTTCTTTATTGGAGAAAAGAACTGGCCCTGAGGAAAGTAGAAGTTTAAATACCTAGGTTACAACAAAGTAACATTCTAAGTTCGGTGTACTATTTCAATACTATCTCTGTGGTAAAAACAGAACTGAAAATGTAAGTCTACCAATACTTGAGTTGTTTCAATGTAGGATTTGTAGTAATAATTAGGAGTAACAGTTATTTAGAAGTTTTTAGAATACTTTTGTTTTTTAAGGCAGTATATAATATGTAAAATAGGGTGTTAGCGTGTACTAGCAGAGTGTATTTAGTTAACGGTTTCAGTAGAATTGCTATGGTAACGCGGACGGGACAAATAAATCAAGGTAAATAATGACATGACCGACGATTAGAGTTCAGCACCACCAAGCAATCAAAATGTAACAAGCTACAGGGTGTCCCAAAAAAAGGAGACCGAGTGATTAGAGTTATTAACTTAAGAACTCTTCGAGAATGTTATTTATCATTTACAGTGGCTCTAGGGCCATGACCTACAGACGTCGTGAGAAATTTGCAGACACCTAGTCTATTCAAAATTGAACGAGCTAGATTCTGAAATAATGAAAATACCCGTACGCTTAGATCCCATGATTTTTTTTATTTCTCTTAAAATTATTTTGCTATTTACATTATCAATGCCATCATTATTGTTTCATTTGCCACAAAATAATATGATTTGCCAACTCAATCCACAGAAAGATAACGTAAACAAAGCAGCGTTAACAGGATCCCCCTACCAACAGGATGCAACACTCAATCATCAAGCGAACACTCCAAAACATCGCCGAGTGAAAATATTTGGATCGAGAAATATACCTTGTCATCCTCTTCTTCTATATCTTTGGGCCACAAATAGTCGTAGAGGGGTTTCTCTGAAACTGGCTCATTTGGGTCGGATCTACCGCAACCTACGTAGTTATCTTCTTCATCCTCCTCTTCTTCTTGGTAGTCTGAAACGGAACTGTTAACTTCTGCTACATACTATTGACTTGTTGACTAAAAACGATCGTTAAACTGTCAGTGATAGATTAGGGAGGAGTGCTTTAAATCATCATATCCATCATAGGCTTTTTAGAATTTCTTGGATTATATATGTGAAAAATATTCCAAAAGTTTTTATATTTTCGTGAGGGCTTCTATACTCACTAATTTCTCGGATATCGTCCAAATCAGGGCTCCCTGAATTCAACAACTGAATGACGAAAATAACTAAAACTGAAACTTCCTCGGATATATAACGAAGAGCAGTTCACAACAACGCCCCTAGCTATTCCCTAAGAATAATGTCTACTCACATATCTCCTGGATATCATCTAGGTCAGGGCACCCGACACAACCCGCACACGGCTTGTCAGGGATATCGTAAAAGTTTGGTGGAAGCTTGAACAGCTCTGCCTTGACCTTATCTCGGGCTGGCTTCTCGTATGTAACCGTTATTGATTTGTCGCCCTCTGAAATAAGATGTTTATTAGAAAGAACTGATCAACGGTTTTTTATCGTCAAGAAAGTCTAAGCATGCCGAAAACCATGAGGGTCAAAAATGAAAATGTCTTCGTTTTTGAAGCCATGTCAAATATTTAATTCATAGTCTTTCTAAATCTAATTAGAAATCCACTGATTTTTATTGTCCCATCAATCACTGCTTGCAATAGGAAACAAAGCCTCAAGATTTTCATCTGTATTGGATTATTGCTGCCGAAGTAGTATTCAAATTCGAACAAGTTTTTCTGGTTTTTGTTGAAATTACTGAAAGTATCACATACACAGACTTATAAAGGTTTGGAATAATTTTTAAATAACTTAATAAAACTTTGTAACTTACTTTTTACAATGTATTCTTGTGTAAATTTGTATGGTTATATAGTAGTGTTGAAAGTATTAAAATACTTGAATACTTTTAATACTTTCAACACTACTATATAACAAATAATTTGAGATCATGAATACGATGTTGTAACATTGAAACGTTGAGTAATTCCTTTCCTGATAAGAGCATTTTTCCTTGTCGCATCAATACAAACGGGATCAATACAAATTTACTCAAGAATACATTGCAACCATGCGACTCATAAACAATATTCAATTCCGGATTTTACATTACTTTTTACAAATCTATATTAATAATCTCAATAAATGTGTCTGTCTGTCTGTAAATTACGAATAGTAAAATCAAGAAAACGGTAAGAGATATGGGACTGGTTTTTTCGGTATAGTGCCGACAAAACTCTGACGAAGCCAAATGATTAAGGTTATTCAAATCGGTCGGTGGTAGTGGTCTCACGTGCTCTCCCTCTCTCCCACTCTCGCTCTCTATCCCCCCAAAACAGATTTGCTATATAATTAGGTAATTTGGCAGGGGAATTCAAGATTGCCTATCAAGTATTACTATTAGATGCGTGAGGGGCATTCAGGATTAAATTGCGGTGTGTTTGGACTGACCGAGTTCATACTTTCGCACCGTTTTAACTACGAAAATGTAATGCGTTTTTTAGAATATAATAGGCGGGTTTATAATTTTGCATTTCAACTGCGATAGTGAAGTCCCGGCCGTAGGCACGGGTTACACTAGTAACAACATAATAATGAATAATCATATCGTGAACTTCAACACTATCTTTTTACGCACTTATTTTCAATAACGGTGCCTTTGTACATACATTTCTTACAGACTTACGATAAGACTTTCACATTAATATTATTGTAAGTCATTATAAGAACAAATTCTTGGAAAGCTGAGGGGTAGGGTAATCTAGTCAAGCCTAGATTTCGTCCCCCGTGCCGGCAGCCGGCTAGAGTCAAGTGAAATTGTTGTGAAAGTCGCACGTGCGGCCAATGCAGTCACCCTCGGAGACATTAAATCACAAGTCTACAATTTGTAGACTTGTGTAGGGTGACTACATGTGTGTATATCCATAACTTAATTTGCGTAAATAGACTTTGTTCGAATAACCCCCTCTACACCCGCCACTCCAGGTATTATTAGGGCAAGGGCGCACAACAATAAATTCGAAGACTCGAAACCTGACCGCCGACCAAAGTTCGAAGCAACGCAAGAAAGTAAGTCCAAAATATATCGGAACAAGAAAACCAATAAAACTAACCAGTATCGTCCTCCTCGCAGCCGACGCAGCCAGGACAGGGTTCAGTGTGGTTATAGAATGAGGGAGGTAGTTTGAACTGAGCTGCTAGTTTCTTCAGCGGAGTGGCTGGTAGCACCTCCTTCACTAATTCTACCTGTCATAATATACGGTTATTTGACTCATATAATAGTGGGCAATCTTTACTCTGCTGATGAAACATCAGTCCAGTTTATGCTTATATATGTTATAGACTAGTAGATTGATAGATCTAGATAACATAAATTAGACGATTAAAAACAAGTCCCACCTCGTCTTGTTGCTCGTTCTGGCCATCTTCATCGTGGAAGTCAGCATCATCATCACAACCCTCACATCCTTTACACTTGCCGTACCTGACATTGTAGAAGGAGGGAGGTAACATGTACTGTTCCGCTTTCTCTTTCAGGGGGGTCGGAGGTAGAACTTCTCTTATGAACTGTACCTCTGGACTCTGTGGAGTGACGTCACCAGTGGGTTTGTGACGTCACCAGGGTCTGTGACGTCAACACGGCTCGTTTCATGGTAGTCTTCCTCGGTGAGACAGCCGATACAACCCTTGCAGTTAGCGTTACGCTCGTTGTAGAAAGAAGGAGGCAGCTGGTATTGAGCTGCCAGGTTTTTGAGAGGTGTTGCTGGGAGGACTTCCTTCACGAACACGACATCGTCATCATCTTCCGGTGTGACGTCATCAGGACTCGTGACGTCACAACCCCTGCACCCAGGACATACAGAACGAGGGGGAATGTAGAAGGTATCGGGGAGCTGGAACTGCCTCGCTTTAGCTTTATCATCTTCGCTCGGAACTGCCTCAAATATCACCTCAAGTTCATCGTCTACTGATGTAGTGCTCTCTGGAACTGCTCCTTTAGCTTCATCAAATGCAGCCTTGAAATCAGAGGCGATTTCTGCTGTTTTAAATCGGGCAGCTAACTGCTGAGGCTCGGGTGTCTGAAAATATGACTCCTCATTTCCAGGAAATAAATAAGAAGCAATAAAACTGGTATAAAATTCCTAAAGCAATTTTCATTTTCTAGAATGTATAATCAACTTGACTGTACTTGGTAGCGATAGTCTGGTCCATCGTAGACGATTTAAATTCTGGAAATTTCGAAAACATTCTCGAAATCACTAACCTCATTGGCCATGTCAGCCAGCGTAAACCAAACCCATGCTTTATCACTTCCAAATGCAGGAGTCAGGTTCATATCTCCGGTAATGATATGATTAGCACAGATGTTCAGCACAAAGTCTCGTCTCATCACAATACGATGAGAACAAGATGAGGGGTTGTAGAGTATCTTGACTTCTCCCACTCCTCTCTCCTTCCACTCGGAGTCACAGAACCTGGGTAGAGGGTGTCAGTGACATGGTTACCATAGCAACCGGTACATGGTTACCATAGCAACTGGTACAAGTTTAGTATTGCTTCATTACACACCATGTCATCAAACAGACCACGTACAATTTCACACTCTCTCAATTAACCAACATGCAAATAACCAACCATACCATAAAAGGTCTCAACTCTACAGTAATTATACCATATAAGGCAACATGTCTCACCGGAATAGTTTAGCCCGGCACTCGAACACGGACTGTTCCTCCTCCTCGCCTGTAGTGAACTCAGTGACCTCTGTCAGCGCTACTTGTGGGGTGAAGTTTGACGTTTCCAGCTCTCCGGCCGAAGTGTTTACTGACTTTTGTAGATGGTTCTCTGAGAGGGTTTTAGTCTTAAAAGTAGTACGAATTTTCGGAGAAACTGGTCAAATGTGTTTTAAGTTTGCAAAACAGATACAACGACGCAATCTTGAGTCTGTCACGAACCTATTTACTTTCACTCGATGATTTATTTTGATCCATCATATATCTAAAATAACAGGACCTTTAGCTAGGCCCTTATATACCAAGGATCTGCCAAATCAATATATAACAGTGTAAATATTACACAAAATAGTGTAAATATTAATATTCCTCCCGGTACCTTGGTTGGTGGTAGTCAGAGCGCCAGCTTTAAAGTGTTGAGATTTACTCAACATACTGGTCTCCTCCTCCTCGCTCTCGTCACCATGGTAACTACCAACCTCATCTTCTTGATGTTGAGACTTGTCCAACAAACACGAGAAATAGCCCGGCTCTGAAATTTTTAATCAGCTGTTCGTTTATTGTTTATACACATAGGAAATATAGATATAAACTGTAGTTTGATATCGAGTTCTGAGTATTACGTGTCTGGTATTTGTTCTGTTTATTCACGAAGTTGTTCTTTGTGCTAAAAATATATGTTATATGCACACTTAGAACAGTAACAGTTGGAGAGGTGCTAACCTATTGGCTCGGCGGTGGCAGGCTGGTTGTTTCGAGGGACGACAGAAGTTGAGAACTTGCCCGGAAGTGACGTCACAGCCCCACCAAGGTCAGGGAGTTTGATAGCTGAACTGTCGAACACGTTCCCTCCTCCGATTCCTGGAAAAATAAGATAGTTCTTAACTACTTTCTTTGTGTAAATAAATATTTTTGTGCAATCTAGAGACTTTTTTACGGATTCGAAAAGGAATTTAAATGCAAAACTTAGGTATAACAAAATTACATCGGGTGAAGAATATTTAGAAACAGCCAGCTTTACCTTTGCTCAGTCGATTTAGTATCGGTGTTGAAGCTAGAACCTCAGGATTTGGCAGAAGTTTATTAATGACCGTATCTGATTTCAAGGAGTCTGAAAGAGAACTTGGCTCCAGGGTCTCTGACAAAACTACATTCTGGAATTCGTCAGGAACCGGTACTTCTGTTCAAGGAAGAAACTGTTAGATACAATAATAATAAAAATCAAAGGATCCATGATATGAGTATGTTCCTCAAGTTGCAACACGCCAAACATAACTTTGTTCCTCTTAAACTCACCTTGGTCGGAAGAGATGTTAGGATATTGTAAAAGAGCAGGTGAGTACATATGTTGTTGAGGAAGTGGTTGTTGAAGGCCAGAAAGGGGTTGCTGAAGGCCAGAAAGAGGTTGTTGCAGGCCCACATGTTGGGATGTTTGGTCTATCGGGTAGACTGGGTAACCTGGGAGGTGGTATCCTGCTGCTGCTACTGGGTAACTTAGCGGTGCACCTAGGGTTATTAATTATCAATAAAGGAAATGGTGCCGAAATTTGTATAATGAGTGTACTTGAACGAATCGTTGAAATTTACTGCCGAAAACAAGTGGATTGTGGCTGTCGGGGTAAAAGTAAATAAAAAGTAGAGTTAACACGGTACAACTACACGGTATACTTATTAGGGTAATTAATAACAATCATATAAAACTAAAAAGGGTATAACCTGAGGCAGGGAAGCCGTTGACGACAGGAGGATATGCAGCCTGAGGGAAGCCAGGAGCTGGAGACTGGTAGATAGCAGGGTGGTGAGGATGCAACACTAGCGGAGATCCTGCGGTGGAGAACGTTCCATCAGCTACCAAACTGACATATTTAACCAGACTTCAAGCATGATAAAATCATCGGGTTTATAAGTAATTTCTTTTTGTTTAAGCTAGATTTATAGAATGGGTAAAATTAAGAATGAATATTAACCAGGGGAGGGTTGAGCAGGAAGATCACTTCTCATCCAGAGAGGAGTAGCAGCTCTGTTCAACCCTGGCAGTCCAACTACTCCTTGAGCAGGACTGTTCAGTTGAGACACATCGCTCCGAACTTGTGTCACATCACTTCTTACTCGAGTCATCTCTTCCTGAGGTCACGTGACTTTTACAAGGAGTTGTCACTGATAACATTGTTAAATGAAAGACATGATAACAAGTGTACTTTTTAGCTATATCTAGAGGACGGAACATACTCTGAGTTTCAGAAGTTCGTTTCTCAAGAGCGATACTTCGTCACCCTTTTGCTCCAGTTGTTTTTGAAGGTTGATCGAAAGGTTTTGAAGTTGCTCTGTGATGTCCTCTGCTGGCTGAATAAATTATATTTTTTATTTTCAAACTCAAAATCAATTGTTGTTATCAATTTGTATCACTTCAAAATCTCATGTACGCATAATAACTGAACAGATGCACATACTTTTTCAGCTACTGTCTCTTCAGCTTCTGGGCACGGAGAGAAGTCCAGTTGCTTTATAACGCTGCTCCTCTCATCTACTTCCTACAATAAAGGATGAAATGATAACGAAATAAATACTACGCAAATTACAAGTTGGTGTGTCAGTTAACACTGGAGGTTACTCGTTAATGTTTTTAAGCAGCATGGCAGCTTGATCATTTCTGAACTGTTTATGAGAATTATCGAAGAAACATATTTCACATACATAATTATAATCTTTACTGTGACAAAATATAGACTATGATGAATATCAACCAAACTTTAATCGAGTTTGGCTGCACGTAAACAGAATTACATAACGTGTCAGCATTTTTATGACGACTAACTTCAGGCATCTTACCTAGCATAAGCATTCTTATTCTTTCCAAGCATCAGGAGTAAAAATTCCTTTTTCAGATCAAAAACAACTAAATTTAAAAGCTTTCATTCTAACGGGGATATGGCAGCGTAAACACACTCTCGAACATGCAACTACTGCTTACAATGTCGTTGAAAATGGAATCATTTACAGTTTGATATCGACAGGGACCCAGACCACGTTTAGTCACGAATTTCGTGTCAGGAGTTGAAGTCAGAGGATGATGGAACGCCAGCTGACATATACGATACATCACAATCCAGAATACCACTACTTCAAATCTCCCAAACTTATCTATCAGGTTAAAGCCATGATCAAGGATCGAGAGGCAATATTTAAAAGATGTATAATCGTAAATAGTTAAGTTTTCTTCCTACCTTAGCTTTAGAATCAAGTTCCATGAATGGCGTGTCATGGCAAGATTCGTAGCGTGTTGTGTGGGCGGGTGTATCAAAACCTCTCTTAGTCACAAACTTCATTTTGCCTGGAAGACTGTCCTCTACCAACCCGATCATCTTCAGAATCACCTAGGAAATTAGGAAGATTAATTACACTAGAAACTTAAAACAAGCAGGATACTAGCGGATAACCTGTTGCATGGTATGGAAATATTGTGTCCAGAAAAGTATGTTAAAATGTTCACCTGGTCACCGCACTCTAGAGCACGCTCTCTACATCGCTGTAATTGCAAATCAGCATTCTCGTGGTGCTTGGCTTTACTCTTCGGAGTGTTCGTACATTCAGCAAGGTGCATGTAGACCTGAAATATTAGTGTGTACTCTCGTGCGAGTGTGACTTGTATGCATGTTACGTATCCGGTGTCGCGCACATCATAATGTTTTTGATATAATACTCTATGCGATACATGCCGCTTTGATCTATTTCATATCTTACATGCCGCTTTGCGCGCACTAAAATACGCGCGCGAAAATAGCTTTGCTTTTATAGCATTGACGAGCATAAAACTAGCAATAGCAAAGGCGCGCGAGACGTTAGAGTGTAAAACGGTAATTTATCGCGCGTGTACGTCGCTGTAATTATTCTAGGACAAAGGCTGGAGGCAAGACACGTTAATATACCTTAGCTGCATTGAAGGCTGCTTGCGGAGTTTCGATGGTGTCGTAAGCCTCAAGAGCTTGAGCAAACTTTCCCTCGTTTACTAAAGACCCGGAATGTGCTAAACCACTTTCCTGACAAAACTCTCTCAGTTCACCTTCCTCCATTGGAGCAACTGAAATAAACAACTAATTATTGAGTTATGGACGAATTGAAATCAGAATTAAAGTTTTTGTGCTTTGTTTTGACACGTGACAGGGACTTGTTTGATTAGCTGATCACTGTAATCCCACCACGTGGCCTTCTCACTCATTTTAAAGTCCAACCAACTCTTCAGTGTTTATAGATCGGAAGTAGAAGAATGTAACTAACAGTTGAACAGTGTGTTGTTCTGCCTCTTGAAAGTGCGGGATTGTAGCGTGGTGGCGATGTTGTAAGACACTTTCCAGTAGTGGGCACTTCTCTGCTGGAATTTTTCGTAATGCTGACCACCACCATCTGATTCGTGGGAAAATCGTGAATATCGTTATCTTTAAAAAATCGTGAATACTGAATATCATCATCTTTAAGGAAAAATAGAAACTTGAATCTAAGATGTATTGTTTCCCAGCGTTCAAAATAAATTTAAATAAAGATGATAAATCTAAAATTACCGAACAGTAAAGCAGCGCGATGAGAAAAGTATTTGGCGAGAACAGTGCACTCTCTAGGCCCTAACCCATGGCCGGACAGACCCCGGATACTCCACATTCCTTTCTTCACCAGTGCAGTGTTGGCAGCCCGGCTTATGGGGACTATCTTTGTTAAGTAGCAGATTTCGTCCCATAGTTCGGTTACAGACGGTGAACACATATCAGGGAACTGAGGGAATGTCTTGAGTAGGCGGTTTATTTGAAGATTAAAAATGACATCTTTTTGTTGAATATTTTTATTGAAAAGTTGAAAAATATAAAATTGGATTATGAGAAAATTGAAGGTAATGATTATTACAGCATAAATCAGAGAAGATGGTCTTACCTTCATTAGCAGATGAAGCAAAGCAGCCACATCATCTTGACACAAATCCATGGTGTGAACCAACTCCAACGACTGAGCATGAAGTTTCAACCTTGGAACCAGACTATCAACCAGATCTTCAGCGGGTACCGGATCTCCAGACTCAAACCTAGACACCAGCACACTAACAAACAGATCGAGATCACGTGGTCTCAACCGCGCATATTTCATCAGTGTGGTGCTTAGATTAGGTACGCTAGGTACAGTTACATTTCTGATAACATTAACGCAGATGTACGAAGCTGCTTTTGAGGTTACATTCTGAAGAACAGTTAGTTGGGACTGACTGGAGCAGTGTCTGCTGATTATTGAGGAGATGTGGAGAGGTGGGTGCTCCAGTTTTGCTTTGGAGAATACCACACCACTGGTTAACAACCTGTAAAATAGGGTTAATTTTATGGATGAAGATACATATTTTAATGACTAGGATAATTAGGGTGATACTAAATTGTGGTAAAACGATTTGCATCATAAGAAGTATAAATAAACTAACAAGTTTTTGGTCTTATTATCACCTGTGCAATGAAATTTCAGCCACTGAGTTAGGGAGGTCTAAAAGAGGTGCTGACAGAGCTAGAATAGCGCATCCGGTAACCGCGTCATCATCCAACTCAGGTACCACACTCGGCACTCTCATCCACAAACAAGATAAGCACTCCCGGGCAAGCGCCCCCCATCTCGGTGCTTCATTCACATTGAGGTTCTGTGAAAGCTGGTATAAAGCGCTATCAAAGTTGGCCCAACTGGAGATGCGCTCGGTGTCACTGCGCTTGTCTCTCACAACCGCGCTCATCACCCAGTTACAAGTATTGAGAATTTTCTCTGCCATGTGGTATTCTATTTTGTTGTTACTGAGATATCTGGAGATGACACTAAACGACAGTTGGAGTATTGATAGGTCTCGGTAAAAGTGGGGGTTGAGTTTGCAGCAGAAGTAGAGCGCGTCGTCTGTGGTGCGCGTTGCCAGCAATTGGATCAGCTCCATGTGCGACTCCAAATCCTGGGCGTTAAGGCGGATCTGTTTTACAAGATAATGTTCCAACTCGTCCGTTTTTCCTGTAAAAATAACACTGAGTATATTAGTATTATATATTGTTTTGTGAGTGAAAATTTCCACAAGTTAAATCATATGTGACGGTCACACTTTGCCATGCCAACAATTATCCTCCGTGAAATACTGACGAGGAAGTGCTCCCACACTCCTAACACTGATTAAATTACGTTTCTACTACAACATAAGTGGAACAGGTGAATAAAGTTGATACTGAAGTTTTAAAATCAGGTTCTAATTTGAAAACCCCGCGGATTTAATTTATAGCGCTAAATGTCCATTCATATAATATAATGTATTTACAGTATAACACACAATACATTGATTATCCCTGATATGGTTGTGCAGGACGATTGTTATTTTTTCTGGATATTAATAACAAACTTGATAAGGTGTTTCGTGAATCTCGGTTTCTAGCACGATCTTACACACAAGGACACATTGGTCAAAGGCATAGTTATAATGTGAAAAAAAAACTTAAAACAAATTTCGGTAAGATTGCAGGAGCTGAAAAATGAAAATGCACGTTACCACCATAAAAAGTGGATAAAATCGGTGAAATTACCAGATTCCTGAAGAATATGGCACTTTAACTTTCTGGTACAACTAAAGTGAGGCATATCCTTCTCCATCTTGTCCAACCAAGCTTTCTTTCTGAACAGCTGATCTTTACTTTGACAATATAACAGGCACACCTTCTCTTTGGCTTCAGCGTCGTTTTGATTCAGCTCTGTACATCTGTTAAATTAAGTTTTGTGGTAATTACTAACTACTAATTCGTTATAAGGTGAGATTTAAAAAACCATAGATCATTAATCATTGAATGCCAATGCAATGCCATTCTTGATATCCTTTTATTGGATTTTTGTAGTAAATTGATGATATTGATGATATCTCCGATATTATATATCTTACAATCAGTAGATTTAAACAAATAATGCTCCCTACTCCCAAGTTACCTTCTGTAAGCCTTGAGAGCCTCTTTGACAGATCCCATCTTCTCGTGAAGCAGACCGAGTATCTTGTATCCCTTATAGTCTTTAGGAGCGCACTTTATATACTGCTGTGCGTAGTTCATCGCCTCCCTAAACTCACCAATCTCAGTGTACATGTTCGTACATTTCATATACAGTGCTTTTTTCTGTGGGTAAAGTGTGTTTAGTGTTTAGTTAGTGGCACTACTGAGCTACTGTTATCCGCTGTTATAGTTAACATTTTCACAATATTCAAATGCACAAGGGAATTTATAATATTGGCAGTCAAATGAGAATGAAAGATCACGTGAGACTCACATCGACGGAAGGTGCGGCACACGTGCCAGCTATCTTATCAACGTCACTCTTCTTGTATCGTGTGTTCCGCTTCATCTTAGTTAATTGATTGATTTGTAGAGTCACTTTATTAAGATCATGTGAAGTGTGAACGGTCAATTTTTGTAATCTGTCAAATAAATTGTCATTACCTTTCTGTGAAACTCATACTCAGAAATTCAACGTGTAAATCAAGTTTAATTAAATGTAACGATTGTAAATGAAACGATTTGATTTCAACGAATAAAACACTTGATAAAATTGGTTCGTATAGAGTATCTAATATTTTTAAATGGACTAACGAGCAAACAGGCCAAATTATGGACGGAAACTCATTAAAAACATGACAGTTAACTGTAAAATCATTATCCGATATCATTCATCTAAAAATGGCCCATTGCATATATTTACACTTACAGTGATACTGATTCTAGATATTATAAAACAATAAGTTAGTTAATGATAAATATGATATTGTTTTTACAATAATATAATAATAAATCTCGTGATCAATGGCCTTAACTAATACTCTGTAATTCATGGGATGAAATTGTATAAACTAATTTTTGTAGTTTAAATTAATATCTGGATTTGAAGATTACAAATGAATATAATCTTAGAGATAATACTGAAAACTGTAAGTTGTGTCAAGTGTAGACAAGTAGGCAGTTGCTAATTCATCTTTGAATAATGTCAATAATCAAGATACTTAACTAATATAATTTAAAGAATACATTGATGATCATCCACATTCCACAATATAATAACGATAATAATAAATCTCATCGTCTTTCTTTGTATCTAATTTTAAGAACTGTAAAAAACACCAACAAATATAAACTCTGAAGAAAAATCACGCCGTGCAGTGCAGATTTGGAGATCAACCTCCCCGGAGATCTGTACACAACTGAGGAGTGGCAACTTAAAAAACGAGCATCAACAACTCAACCACAATTATAACAAGCAAACACATCACAACTAATTGCTTAGTTCAATTCTGAAACGCGCACAACCAAACCTAATCTCTGTCAAGATTACCCACAAGAGAAATGTCCAGTATATCAGGATTGATATCATAGAGATTGTCGTTACTGTTGTCCTTGTCTGATGACACATTTATAATCTCCCCTGAGTCCAACATGCTTCCTTGACTCCTCCTTGGTCTTCGCCCACGCCGAACCTCCAACTTTGCGCGCCACGGTTCAGTGGGTGTTGTTAACTCTGTCATCTCCCGCGCAACCTCTTGCGGCAGGTTATGCTTGTTTATGTAGTGTCTCCGAAGATCACGCCGTCGGCTGTACCTCGAATTACACATGGTACACTGATTCACTGAGTTTTTGTAGTGCTTCGCTTGTATATGCTCCTCCAAATGGTCTATTCTGTAACAAGTGTAAGGGCACAATGTGCAGCAAAGTTTGGGCTGGTCTTTTCTTTGAGGAACTTTTTTCACAGGAGGTGGTCCGTCTGGCGTAATGTCTACGATTTTATCAGCATCCGGTATAACGAGTTCAATAGGAATACTTTTGGGTCCCTGGTGTTGCTTCATTGATTTTATAACGTAGTGAGGAGACGAAGTGTCAGTTTTCTCTTTTGTTTTGACCTCGTGAGCCCGTCCTATGTGAAGCTCTAACGACATGTTATCCCTGAAGTATTTCTGACATTCCTTGCATTGAACTTTTGATTTCCTAAGATGCCTTTCAATGAAGTGAAAGTTAAACAACTCTCGTGAAGCGAGAAGTTTTTTGCAGATGTTACAGATCACTTCGGGAACTCCAGCACCAGTGGACGTGACCAGAACACTCATCATGCTCCTCAACATGCCACATTTCTCAGATACCATCCAGTCAGTATGATCATCTCCAATTTGCTGCACTGCTGCTTTGTAGATTTCTTCAGTAGAATGTTCTCGAAAATGATCTATACTGTGTGCTGTTTCCTTGCAAATGTGGCAAAGAAAGAAGGTGACGTTTTGTGGTAATGTTATTTCACTAGCGACAGCATCAATACCTTCAACATCATGATCCACTCCATTGCTTTCTATAGTTAGGGATGAAGCAGCAATCTCAATAGGTTTCTGTTTTGTGAAGTCAACTTTAGGCAAATTCATATTGAAACCAAGACCGCCCAGTAGATGGCCGTTCATCACATGTTTTTCTAATGGTTCTTTGTTGGGGAATGTAAGTGTGCAAAAGGAACAAAGGTATCGCTTCATCTCCTTACAGAAGTGAATTTCCTGAATGTGCTCTTCAAATTCTGTAGAATCAGTTACCTCTTCGTCACAATATGTACAGCACATTTTCTTCGGAACATTGAGATTTTCCAATTGAAAACTGAAGTCACAGACCAAAGAGTAGTAATCATACAGGGTATCACCAAGATTAATTCTGTGCTGAATGATGAGATGTTTATGGAGACCAAGCAGACTGAAATAGATAATCCCACAGAACCTACAAAAGTGAGGCGAGAAAGCGTGGTGATAAGTCTTGATGTGCTTACTGAGACCAGCCTTGGAGTGTTCAGCAATACCACAGTACATACATGACCAAAATGCTCGACGCTCAGAGTTGTGACTGTCGGTTGAGATTCCGATGTTGTGGAAGATAATGTAATGCTCCCGCAATGTTCCTGCCCCTACAAAGTTGTCCAGGCACAAGGAACAAGTTATTGGTGAGTCATTCTCTGATTTGGAACAAAGTGGAATAAATCTCAAATGTTCGATGACAGTGTTGTTGGAATTAAAGACTTTGGTGCAAAATGGACAAGTAAAATGTTCGTGAAATGATATTGCACGATGTTTCAGCATGGCATGGTCTTTCGTTTTACCAGAAACAACAAGTTTATTGCACCATAAGCAAAGATCGTAGGTTGATGCTTTTGGGTTTTCAACAGATTTACGATTTCGCTGACTTTTTAATATGTCATTCATTAGCACCTCTTTTCTTATTGCAGGAGGGGCCTCACTAGGTGCAAGAACTGATTCAAGTTGTATTTCCATCGGTTCTATTATATTGGCATGTTTTAGGGGAGGTGGGAAGGATTCAGCAGCAGAGCTGTCATCAGACTTTTTTCTGGATGGGTCATAGATAAGCGAAGGAATAATGTCGACTGTGTTCCCTGAAATTTAGAATATGCCATCGATTAAGTGTTAAAGGATAAGCTTTTTATAGTGGTATTAAAATACAATAAACCACATCATGATTAGTGTGCATAGAAAAATCATCAAAAATTTCAACAGCAAGTGATGTGTTGGTATTATAAAATCAGGTCGAAGTAGGGGCTGTATCATGATGTATCCTAGCCCTTCTGGCTTCGATCAGGGACATCCTACCAAAACATTCCTTACCTTGTGGCTGGAGTTCAGACAAAATCTGTTGCAAAGCTTCCACTGCAAACTTAGCTTCCTCATCACATCGAGAAAGCTCCTCAAGAAGCTTTTGTAGAATTTCAAGCCTGTCCTTAGTCAATCCTTCAGAAGAGATGACCTGTAGTAAAAGTTTTCTTAGAATTTTTGTCATAATAAATAGACGGCCCCAACGTTAATGTGGCTCTTGCTATGTGTTGGTTCAGCCGAATTAATTATTATGTAATCAAGTTTATTTTTATTTTTTAGTTAGTTGTCATCCGGCCAAACATTAAGCAACTTATATTGCAGTACCATTTATCAATTAGAATATCAAAATATGTCATTGTATTTTTGCATGGCTGAAATGTAACGCTTGATTTATATATATAATAATAATTAATTGAATTTCCAAATTAAACAAATAAAGTTCACAAAGTTGTGATAGGGATGATGGGATTAAGATTAAATACTTTATCAGGGGGTTATTAACAATGCTGTATGATAGTTTCTCAGCAGCCTATTGACTTATATTTACAAGAAATATTGATTTCACTCACAAAATGAGAAATTATAGTTGTGATAGCAGTGGTGATTGCTGCTGGCTGCTCCTGGCTAACATTGTTTGATGTATTTGACTCAGAATTTTCATCAATAATTTGTTCAACTACAGTTTCAGTGACCATGGGCTCATCTGCAGTAGCACAGGTTTCAATCAGATTGGATTCAATATCTTCTTCCACCATAGCACAGGTTTCAACCGGGTTGGAACCAATACCTTCCACCTCCACTCCACAGGTTCCTATCAGGTTAGGTTCAATACCATCCTCCACCATTGTACAAGTTTCAATCAAAGTGGAGTCAATACCTTCCTCCATCATTGCCTCATCAGTGGCAAAAGTTTCAATTACTATATCGGAGTCAGCTTCTGGCTCAATATTTTCTTCAATTATAACAGCAAGTTCTTTGTGTTCAGCCTCAGTCCTATCAGTGTTGTTCTCCTTATGAACAATAACTTCCGACACCAGCTGTTCTAAGTCTTTCGTACATTCCATCTCCATACTGTTAGCTGCAAAATGCTGTAATTAGTAAAACAAAATTTTATTTCATACCCACAATCAATTCATATTTAGTTCAAAAAATAACCATTTCACAGATCAAGTGGTTTTATAATTTAATTAAATAATTTGTGATTATATGTGTACAAGTGATAAATCATTAACTTAAAAATGTACAAAAAATACACAATTTTTACCTTGCAACACTGGTTCAGCGCGTGGCTGATCAAAAAAGTTTGGTTTATATTTACTAACTACAGTGTACAGCTTACGCGTACATGAAAAGATAACTTACTGAATTGTTTAATACTAAATACATATTTAAAGGATGAGGGGACCTTGTGAAATTTTTTTTCTCGTGCAAATCCATCTCTTACATTAATTATACTAGTAGGAACCCGTATTTAACCTTAAAATGGTGTCAAGACTCAAGAGACTAAAATAATTAATACCTATTTAATTCACGTTTTTGACACCACTTGGGGTACCAAATTTAGGGCTCTAAAACTCCTATTTCTTGGCCAATTTTTTATTTTTTCATGCTGATTTGGAGGCCATTAAAGCATTTGACCCCGTCAAAAAAGTTTCAGTTGTATATCTTTTACAGTTTTTGCGGAAATTCGCGTTAAAGTTGATGCCGTGGTGTCAGTAAAATGGCACGGATAAATATATATCGTCTCGCTTTATATATAGTAAGATAAACCACTTTTGTGAAATCCACAAAGTTGTATTTCATTCGCACGCCGAGATATCCAATATACAATTTGAACCTGTGACGTCACTTAAGGGTCCTGTTCTGATCTGCGCATATAGAAATGGGGGGAAGCCATGGGAAATTTTGGGGAATTATGATTTATGTAGGATACAAGGATACAAGGATACAAAAGTGATAATTATTATATTGAATTCACAATAGTTATAATTCTGAAATAATTTAAGTTAAGTTTTAGTTATTTACAAATGTGTAGGGATAAAATGTATGTATGAATTAATTATGGGGTTTTTCAAAATCCATTAAGGCATTCTCAAAAATAACACATAATTCCCCATAATTACTAAAATATCCCCTGTGCCTTAACAATGTATGATAGATGCCATTCTGTGGTTGTATGGTGTTATATGGGCAATGAGGCAGTAGTCTGTTGTCGGGAAGACATTTTGCAACATATTATGAATTATTTAAATATTATGTTTCTTATCATATTATAATTATAAACATATTATATTCAGTTAAACAAAAATTTCAGTTAAACAAAAATTTCAATTTTTTGCCATTTACAGAATAAACAAGTTTACAATAAATCAATTTGATGTTTAATGGAATCCTAATTCAATGTGTAGTATAGCTGTCACTCTTTAAATAGATTAGATATAGGTTGACGGGGCAAAGGAGTTAATTATATACTTATATATAAATCTGGAATCTGTTCACACTGTGAACCAGTCCTATAAAAAACCACAAAAAACCCTCCTAAATTAAATATTAAAAACGTCTCGAAATAATGAAAATAGTCATACAATTTAGAAATTTACCAAATTCTGAATATATACCTAAGAGAAAAATACCTACCTAAATTAATTTCTACCTGTAATTCGCTAAATATTAGGTAAATACATATATATAATAGGTTGTGGAGTCAGCACACGTTTACCAAAATCAAAAATTTTTCAATAGGAGGAACCTGTGGCCCGAGAACACTGCATTAAATTTGTTTGTTGAAGGGGATTGTTTTCAAATGACAGCTGCATTATGTCATAATCGCTTGAGGTCCATGCCGAATCATTATAAGCATGTTGCAGCTTTAGGAGTACCGTAATCAGCTTGGTAAGACGCCGCGCCCTTATTTTGTAACTGATTTATACCGCACTGTAAAATTGAGCGCTACATAAACAACTAGTTGAATCCCTTATATTTATTTTCCATGAACTTTCAGATTAACTTCTCACTTTTTTGAATTTTACTTTTGGATCCAAGGCTCTGTGTTTATAGACACCGATTGAAGATAATATTAATATAACTGCAAAGCTTAAATATTACCCTGAAGCAATTATTACTTCAAAGAAATTTGCACAAGTTCTTTAAAACAATCTACACCTAATTATGGCAATATTTAAAACGAAACTTCGGTTTTCAGCATGATCATAGTTTTTAGCAAAATATTGTAGGTTCCTAGCAAGTTCTCAACTTTTTGGAGATATGATGGGGATATAATATGAGGTAAGTAAAGAAAATGTACGAACAATAAATTACCTGTCGGTTGAAAATCAGGATCACCCGCATCATCATCACTGTAGTCATCTGCTGAGCTCAACTCTTGTAGGTCCTCCAGTGCTGATCCTCCCACTTGTGGTGTAGGGGAATCGCAGTCGCAGCAAGGAGTAGTCTGCACTACTATCGACTTGTACACAGTTGTCAAAGGGGCTGGAGTGGGTGGGTCAGGGATGATATCAGGCATTATCAGGTCTTCAGTTTCTTCAGCATTTTCAGGAGTACAAACTCTGGCATTTTCGTTGATCAGTTCTTGTATCCGAGCAAGCGGATTTGATTTTATCGCTGCACATGCAGGTCGTTTCGCTATAGGCGTCTCTTCTTCTGGTACTTGGGTGTGATGTCTCCGCTTCGTCCCATTCTCACGGTTTGTATTTGGAATAGAATCCGGCTTTAGCAATATCTGTAGACCTGCAGTTAAAATGTAAATAGTTTGAAATGTCTGAGTGAATTTGCAGTTCTATCCAGGAGTTATATAATTATAGTTATATGTAATAGCAACTTGTAGGTTTCGGGCTCCAGTGTACACTGATGTCTGTACAACAATCTACAGTAGGGTTAGTTTTTGAAATGTCGACCATCAATGCCCCTGAAAAATGCCAAACCTTTAAGTGAATCAGGAGAAAGGATAGTCGACTTTAAGAAACAGCTTGTATTAAAGTCTTCATCTTCAAAATGGTCTGAACAAATGGTCGCTGATTTCGCCATGCTTTTCATGTCTTCCAGGCGTCGATCGACTCTCCTGATCCATTTGTTATTCAAGTTACTCTCTTTTGGGAACTTGTAAAATCTGAGAAAGTGTCTTTTGCTGCTCAAGTCTCCAGTCTTCTTTTTACAATTCCCAGCACAGCAATGTACCATGTTATCGCATGAATGGTCCTAAGGTATGATATAATTTAAATTTATTTTAATCTAATAATAGTTTCAGTTCCTACAAACAGTATGTTAGGTGAAAAAACAATTTTATCCTCAAACGGGTGAAGCTGGAGAACAACAGGCGGCAGAGAAACAGCAGTGCGATTGTGAGTCAGTCAACTGCATTACAGACATTCATAGATTCAAAGCGTCAATTTGCGACGAGTCTGTTTTAGAACTCATCGCATATTCTGTGAATCGGAAGGAGTTCCTGGAAAAGGATGATGTTGAGAAAAGGAACAGGCTATACCGTTTCGCTGCTTACAGAACATTCTTCGGGATACTGGAGCTGAACAGACTGGGTTAAGGACGGCGCTTCAGACTACCACAGTGTGTGGTGAGAGTTATCCGCAGAATGTACCCCAGCAAGTCAGGCAAATATGTTGGATTTAAATCACTAAACGAACAAGTTATGGAAAAGCTAAACATATATTAAGCGGGTCGGTCAACACATCTTCTATTTCATATGTATTGTGCTCTGCCGATTGCAACACTTGATTTTATTGAATGCATATTATATTGTTCGTCGCACATTTCATTTGAAAATACATTCCTTTATTCTAGTATAAAGAAATATGCCGATTTTTAGTTGTGTCCATATTGGGTTTCAAACAAGTCAAAACAAAATAGCAGTTTGTGGTTTAGTTAGCGGATGCTACTTATCTTAGCTTATATAGAAATACCTACTACATGTACAACTACAAGAAAGCTTTTCTGAGTTACATTTAACTATAGGGCACAAGAACAAATTTGTTTACAATTATCAAAATTTGTTGAGCCCAGCAGCTTTCTTTCCTCTCTTCCCCCGTCGTCTGCAGTGTGTGATTTTTGTCGATTTTTGTCGATGTCCGAGCTTTTATATTTATCTTTAGTTAATGGGTAACTTTCTGTGATTGGACTCGGTATTTTCGTCCCGGCCGAGTGGGACGATGCTTAAAGTAAAGTAAAGTAAAGTAAAATTTATGACATCACATCATCACACATGTCAACAAAATATCATCGCACTATATGAAAAAATATATAATAAATATTTCTCCACCAACATTAAATATTTATCAAATACAATATTTTAAAACAATTTTATCAAAAACATTATCCTATTTTAAAAACTTTCCAGTGGAATAAAGATTTATAAAACGCTTCTTTGCCACATAAGGATGGAACCAAAGATAATTTTAATGTTTCTCTTTATTACTGACATAACTGGCTCCCTCAATTCTTATTAAAACTTCATTAGAAACATTCCAAAAAAAGCAATAATTTGTAATACTTTTAGAAATCATATCTATCTTATATCCTTCTAATTTAATTTTAAAACCCAAAACTGTCACAGAGTTCTTGACGTCTGGAGGGAGTTTGTTCCAATATGGAATAACTCGCTCCGGGAGAAAGGACTTCTGGATATTCTTGACCTTTGTCACACTTTTACTACATCTATTGAATGAAACCAGATTAAGACCTGATCTGCTTTTGTCATACGTTGTATGACCCGCCGCACACGAAGTGCGCGGCTCCCCCTGTATCGTTGACGGATGTTACTCGTCTAAATTTCTTCGAAGTAGTATAGCGCGCGCCGCTTTCTTCTCGAAATGCCCGACGGCACGAGCTACGAAGTAGCGCGCGCCGGGCCAGATCATTAACAATGGTCAACCTGTATCGTCGAAGCGACAATGGGGGTCACCACGTGATACAAATCTGCTTGGTCTGAACAAGTCTGAACCATAATCAGTCATACCATTAATTACCTTAAAAGCTTCAATAAGGTCCCCAACGTTCATTTACGGTCTGCTTTCATAATTTAAACAATAGTGGGTTCTAAATAACAGCTTTAAACCGATTAAGTATGAATAAATGAAATACCTAAAAATCTACACTCCTATAAAAATTTTAAAAAGCATGACTAATTTGTAGTAATGTATGATTTCTAGAAACTTTAAATTAAATTTGGCGCTCACAGGTCCTCATGAATATGTGATCGCTGCATGAGATTCTGTAAATTCGCAGAGCACCTACAAGCTTTGATCATTGTTAATGTTCTGGCCAGGCGCGCGCTACTTCGTAGCACTTGCCATCGGGCCATTTCGAGAAGAAAGCGGCGCGCGCTACTTTGAGGAAATTTAGACGAGTAACATCCGTCAACTTCAAGCAGCAAGCCTTAATTATTCACCTTACTGAGGCAGTCAATCAACGCGCGGCTTTATTTTTATGATATCATGATATGTTTTGATTGTTATTAATAAATACAAAAATTTAAATTTGTTTTCCTAAAATTTGTTTTCCTATTAAAAAGAATTATTCGTGACTTAAACTTATTCAATGCAACCGAAGATACCGCTCCTGCAAAAGGTAACACGACGAAATTTGCTCTAACATCTAACCAGAGCCCTCTTGCTTGTTGTAGCGCGATGCGTTACTGTGCCGCGCCGCGCACTTAATAAGGCTTCTCACAGCGACAGATCGGCGAGATGCGCTACTGTGCCGCGCCGAGCTGCCATGAATTGACTTGTCATACGTTGTATGACCCGCCGCGCACGAAGTGCGCGGCTCCCCCTGTAGCGTCGAAGACTACTATAGTGAAACGACCGTGGGGGTCACCACGTGATACAAGAATTGACATCGTCAATTAATCTCACTTGCAGTAGCGCGCGACCGCCGAAGGCGGCAAAGGAGGTATAGTAAGTATAGTATATTCTACTTGTGAAACAAGCGCGTCACGCAGTACGCGTATACACATGGCTATGTGAACGACGTAATTAAAACAGAACAGAACAAAATGCTGACACAAGCGAAAGGTGCGCGCGCACGTTGGTCTCAACACATAAGTAGGGTGTGATTACCTGGGGACCCCAGGCTATTATGTTCATTAACATAGAGATTAGGCGGAATGACAGGCTGAGCGTGGCCCAGTAAAGGGGGTGCTTGTAGCGCGATGCGTTACTGTGCCGCGCCGCGCACTCAATGAGGCTTCTCACAGCGACATCCTGGCTAGATCGGCGAAATGCGCTACTGTGCCGCGCCGAGCTGCCATGAATTGACATCGTCAATCAAAGGGGGTGCACGATAAAAATAAACTTGCTCGGATTTTCAAAATTTTTGTATCATTGTTTTCTAGAGACTGTGAGAATTTTCACAGTACCAAATTTGTCATACCTTTTTGGAATGATCAGTGAGTTTTGCCTAGGTGCCATATTCGATGGTGCGCGGCTTTTGGAACAAAATTAAGTGTAAAAGTCGCGTAATTTGACGAAATTCGTTGATTTTTGTCGTATTATATTATCATATTTTTGGTTCCTGAACATGAATCATGCTGAAAATTTGTCAGAACCTTCCAATAATACTTAACTACCGAACCTTAATTAGTTGGGAGAGATTGGCCTTGTATTCAGTATTGATTAAGAGGTCTAAAAATGACAAAATAGGTATAAATCCGTTGATAACTCAAATTCTGACCATCGAAATCGCTCAAACTAATTTAGGTTCAGTAGAACATTGTCATACGTTGTATGACCCGCCGCGCACGAAGTGCGCGGCTCCCCCTGTATCGTCGAAGATACTATAGTGAAGCGACCGTGGGGGTCACCACGTGATACAAGTAGAACAGAAGTGTTTACGTACGCTGACCAAATTTCAACAAAATTGTTATATGGGAAGTATTATAACTTTTTGATTATTAATTGTTTCCGAAATAATGTGCTGGCCGAAATAAGAGCTAAAAAACCATTCAATGGTCAGCGCGCGCGTCTTACGGTCGATGGCGCACTGCCTAACATAAGTGACGTCACATCCCAAAATTGCTATAATATCTGATATCAGCTAATAAGAGCGCGGCGTGGTATTGCACGAATTATTGATTACACAGTCCGGTGTATTTTTTGATTCTACACACTTTCTGCTTTCGCAGGACTTAAACGCGAATATTTGGAAGTAAATTCTATAAAGGTCCCCTCATCCTTTAAGTTGCATACCTCTCATAGTCATTAGGAAAAGCCTTTTCCGACCTGAGTGCAACGTGTATCATCCTGGTGACAGTAACCAAGCCTGCTTGTCTATTATAGGGGTCGTTCACATATTACGTAATCAGCCGAGGGGGAAGGGGGGTTTCCAACTTTCCAAATGCTTACGTGTTACGGTTGATTACGGGGGGGGGGGGGGGGGGGGGGGGGGGGGGGGGGGGGGGGGGGGGGGGGTTTGTTTTGGTCGTTGATTACGTTGAATAATAACAATTTGATATTTTAATTCAAATTCCACTCAATTTCACTCTGATAGTGATAAAATTTAGAAATTGATCGAATATTCGGCTATCACCTTAATAACACCAGAATGTGTGTGTGTGTGTGTGTCTGTCTGTCTGTCTGTCTGATCGTCTGTGTGTAATTTCCGAACGGTTATACAAAAAAAACGGTAATAGTTACGGGACTGGTTTTTTCGGTATAGTGCCGACAAAACTCTGACGAAGCCAATAGGCAAATTTTATAAAAATCGGCCGGTGGTAAGTGGTTTAATTGATGGTTTTGTACCACAAAATATGTTACATAAAATGGCTTGAGAAGAACGGCAAGAGTTACGGGGCTAGCTCTCTCTCTCTCTCTCTGCATAATATTATTTAGCGTATATATTACATGGCGTATATATTACATGGTCATATAATACTATAAACTTATTAGGGGAGGGAGTGCTCAAACGGTCTGTTTGGACTGTAGAGAGAGTTCATACTTTCATACGACAATGTAATAGTAAGGGGAAAAGTGGTCGATTTAAGGGTTCCGTTGGATTTGAATGTTCACAAGGATTTCTCAACGGAATATGGTAGTTAGGACCCCTACGAACATAATTAGACCTGTCACCAATTTTGTATCTCACGGAAACACCTCTTTTTACCACTTTTTACCACCTTCTTACCACCTTTCTGGTTTGCCAAATATCTTTAGTTGTGAACGTCGTAGAAGGTTGCAAATTAATCGAGGATGTTCATC